CTATGTCTTGCCCCTATTCTCCCTACTAACTCCTCACATCACTCATTTTCCACCCTCCCCTGTATTTTCCCTCAAGGAAATACTGGGCATGCATATTAACTAACATGGTTGGTTGGCTGGTTGGTTTATTTAAATGAGAATGGAAAATTCCAGTGGGGTTCAGGGTTAGCCATCTCCAAGTTTGACCCTCTTCATGAACTGTGTGAAGGATGCTAGACTCTGAGTAAATATTAAGTAATGTTTACCTTGTTTTTATTTTATTTCATTTCATGGTTCACTTTGTACAGCATCCCGGAACAGGTAGCTAGCTGCCTGCCCAAGTGTCCCTCTTTCTCCTCACAACTTGCCGTTTTCCTTTTCCTCCCACTCATTCCTGCGTATGCAACATGATGGAATGTATGGGGATATAAGACATGCCTTTTTTTAAATTAAAGAACAATTTCATTGTCTCCTTTCCCCCCTTTTTTCCAAGCTGATAGTTATGGTCTCTCATATTGAGCCTCTGGATGCATGATGCTAAACTGGTTTTAGGGGAGAAAAGGGAGGTGGACAAAGAGAAGTTACAGGGTTCTCCGACCCCTTCCAGTTGTTATCTCCTCTCTCACTAGGGAAGTGGCCTTTCTAGATGACTCAATATTAAGTGCGAAGAAGAAAGTGAATCCCCAAAGTCAATATTCTTTATAAATCAAGCAACATGGGTTGCCAGATTCCAAGTAAAAATGGAAGCTCGTGCCTTCTCAACAAAACGTTCTTGCCTACATTCATACAGTAAGTGGTAGAACTAGACCAGAACGCAGAAACCCCTGGCTCCAAAGCCCACGGTCTCAACTGTAGATCATGAGGCTTTTAATTACCTTTCAACTGAAGACAATCCCTGGCCCCTCAAGGCACAGGAACTCTCTATGAAGGAGTGGGTGTACAGTTCCAGGCATTCCGATAATCCGCAGCCGATCGTCGGAATCAGCCTGACCTCTTGCAAGCCACTTCTGTGACATGGAAGACAGACCAAAAATGCATTTCAGGGAGAAGCGCTGAGATGGCAGCTTCCTCTGGATGCAAAGGCAATACATTGTGTGGGAAGATCCTTGGACTCAGAACAAGGTCTGGGTGTGAATCTGAATTGGTGCAGGCTATGTGAGCCAACTTAGAAAACGATGAGAACTGAGTCCTTGAGGAACATATGAGTATTTATCACCTGACTTACTTTTTTCTCAAGCTACTTTAAAAATCAAATGAGATAGTGTGTATGCATATGCATGTAGACATATTTAACATAAGTATCTATACATACATATATAAATACAATTGAGTAGAGTTTAAACTACTTGGAATTAAGTTAAATAGCACTGAACTAATGGCTGAATATGAGATATTCAATAAATTTCAGTTATTTTTATTAACAATTCCTATGTGGGGGCTTCAAATATTCATGGAAAAACAAAACTGAAAGATAATGAAAAATTTCCACTAATTTTTGAAGCTCCATTCATGTTTCTTGAGTCCCAATCTCAAACCATTTGTTCAACTCTCTACTTATTTTTTTTCTCTTACGAGTTCTCCTTTTTTCTATGAAACTCTTATAAAAAAGGAATACAATTTTAGATCTAATGAGATCTTCTCTGATTTAAGTGTCAGATAATGCAGTTTCTAACCCGAGTAATATATTGGCTCAAGGTGTCTGGTGACAGTTACCTGAAGGAGTATTCATTGAGGAAGTTTGGTTTCGAAAAGCCACCAGAACACAGATACAGATGCACACACATACACACACACACACACACACACACACACACACACACTGAGATTAAGAAAACATCTCTTCCATGCAGATCGTGAAATCAATCATTAAAAATAATTTGCAGGAGTCAACTATTTCTACTTACATAGCACCAATATTTAAAAATGAGTGCACTTTGCCAACAAAATGAATGCTTTTTTACTGTGATTTCACATATTTTTTCCCCAAAACAATCTTGGGACGAAAGTGGTCTGATTACTTTTTCAACTGACATACATTTAAGGACATTATCAAAAGATAATTTAAGTTGTAATTTACAATCAGGAATTATGAAACTATACAAATCTATTTTAATGGATGTCATTTGCGTTTTCATGGTCGCCCACCAGTGTTCTCTCAGCACCTTCTGAATGTCTACTTTTATGCATCATCGAGAGGCCACACATAGGACCCAGGTCAGGCTGATGACTTTGCACTGATTACAAAAGTGAGTGGCAAGTCTAATTACCCTGTCACATCACCGTTACAGGACCGCTTCTGAAAGTAATTTCTCAGATGTGAGATAAGACAGATCAAACAGTACCAGAAAACTTACTTCTGCTTTAACATATGTTTCAAAGTCCTAAGTGAACCATCCTGTGTTCCAAACTACTTTTATGCTGTTTAGAAAAGAGCGCCGCCTATGGCCAGGTGGTGCTAAGTGTCCATACATACATGTCATCTATAGATTCCCACACAGGCCCTATATTTGAAGACAGCAGGTGGCACCTGAGAGAAAGAGGTGTATAGACCAGCTGCACCGTGTGTGGACAGTACGGCATGCTTACATGGCAGCAAACAGGAAGACTCAAAACACTCGCCGCTCTGCCACGGCACAAAGGCCAAAGCATCAGCAGAGGAGGCTGGTAGGTAAAGTTAATACAAAGGTCTGGGATTATACAGGACTGTTGTATAACCCATCACATGCTGCATTATTTTATGCATTCTTGCAATAAAAGTATAATATTTGCAAGCAAGTACTCAGCAGTCACAGGAACAGCAATAGGAAAGGATGTTTTAGGTATGAGCATGTAGACGGTGCTCCTAATGGCTAGTTGTCCCCATAAACCCTTATGGTCTTTTCATCGCTGTCCTTAGAAAATGAACAGGTTTGGGGTTCTGCCCTAAAACTCACCCTCTTCCCATTAAAGGGCCTCACCCTCCATCATCCCTCAAACAGCCAATGAAGAGTCGTGACAGCGACCACTTGCACTGAGCCTTCCCCTTCCTACCCAAACTATGCCGAGCAGCAGTGCAAACCATAGTTTCCCTGGCTGCTAGAGGCCTCCATCCACCTGCCGTCTGCAGTGAACATCAGAAGGAACAGCGGTAAGCCTGTATATCTTGACCAGAGGAAAGGTGTCCAGGAGAGAAGTGGCAAAAGCTGCGACCAGGGAGGACAGACAGACTGACGACCAGACAGACAGACAGCAGCACCACCAGACACCATTCATTACTTCCACTCTCAGAAGAGGGGAAGCCTGCAGCACCAGGGATTTCATTGTTCCACTGGGGACAGACAGCAAATAATGAAGGGTCTGACCGCCTTCCTCAGACCAGCAAGCTTAAAGTATTCTCTCTTCCTTCTCTCTTTTTTTTTTTTTTTTTTGGATGAGAAGGAGCAGGAATTTCAGAAACCTGCTGCTCTTAATAGAGCCCAGGCCAGCTCTGGCCTTCCAACTGAAGTCTCCTATCTGAGTCTCCAGTGTAAGGACAGGAATGAATAGATTTGCAGTATTTTCAGTAACTCAATTGGGTAATAGGTATCTCAGCATCCCTCCAAAGCCCCTTCTCGGATGTGGGTGGCAGCTACATTGATCAGGGGCTGCTCAGCCTGTGAATGCAGCCTCCTTCCATTCCTCTCTTGTGAGGGAGGCACTGCTGCACTGAGGGGAAGCGGAAGAAACCTTCTGTGGCAGTATCCTCTTTTCAGGATGCAAGTCTGGGAGCCAAGAGAGGCCATTCTGGGTGAGCTCCATGCAGGGTATCACCTCTGCTCCCTCTCGGCCAGCCCTTCTCTGCTGCCAGCTCATTCTAAATGCAACAGGTTCTATTTGTTTTAGCATGCCCATCCCCTGCCCCCAGATAAACCTTTTGGCCTAAGAAGGGGATACCAAGGAATCAGTGGTAGGCAGGGACTCTAAATTCCCATGCTCCAGGGAAGAAAAGTTTCCTAAATACATGCAGACCTCTGAAGGGAAGGATGTCCCTTCAACTCCACTCTCCAGATGATGCTAAGGAAAGCCCAGTCTCTATGCTACTACCTTGTAAGCAGTTTTGTCTGAGGCTAGGGAAGCAGTAGCAGGGACCATGTCACACACTACTGCACCACCAGCGCTGAGCCCTGTCCCATCCCTGTCCCCAGCAACCCCGTGAAAGGCTGGCTGATGGGCTCTAATAAGGGACTTGGCAACTATGCCCTCCCCTCAACCTCAACGCTGCTTCCAGTGGGAATACAGCTGGCCCCAGAGGTGTCAGGAGGCTCTGTTTTCTTCAGGCCAGAGTCGTCCCTACCAGTTTCTCTCATTATTAAAAATAACCAAAAAACAAAACTTTGCATTGGTAATGGCATTGTATACGGGGAAGGAAATTGGTCTTCGAATAGGTATTTGGTGTGGAAGACTGTGGATAAAGGTTAAAGAGAAGCTGGGGAGCCAGGTTACCAAAGATGGCAACTGCCCCCCCAAAAAAAGGAGCCAACCTTGCTTGGTGAGATGAATGAGTACCAAAAGGAGCACTAAAACCCAACCTTTTTATTATGTAAATACTGACACCTTCACTGGGGGGTAAGCCCAACCTGCTCAACAACTCCAAGAAGAGAAAAGGGTTCTTCTCAGCATCTCTTCATCCCACCTCCCCTTTATCCTACTCCTCCCCTGTCCCCTAACCTGCTCCCAGCCTGGGGCCCTGGCACTTGGGTGGGATCGGCTCCACCAGCTTCTGCATATCCTGCCACCAGGGTGGCCCCCGTCCACCCCATCTTCCCGTGGCCCCCCAATTTTAGAGCATCCTTTCCCGGCTCGGTGGCACCTCAGCCTCCCCGCTGGCCCCATCACCTCCTCCCTGCGAGAGCCCAGTGCCCTGGCCCCCCTGAGGCGGGCGCCTCCGCCCGCACCCAGCACCCTGCCCTGCCCCTCCCCCATTCGGAGCCGGGCGGGTCGGGGGCAGTGAGTGGTAGCTGGACCGCGGGGAGGCGCGGATGGCGCGGCCCGGGGGAGCTTACTTGAGCATGGCTTCTTCTTTTTCCTCCTCTTCCTTCTGCCGGTCCATCACTGCCATGATGATGTTCCGCTCCTCCTCGGTCAGGTGGCTCAGGTCGGGCAGCTCTTGCATGGGGGGAGGCCCCGTGGGTGGCCGAGGAGCGCGGGGCCCCACGGCCGAGGACATCTTCGTGGCCTGGCCGCCCCCTCCGCCGGCGCGCTGCC